TGAGATCAATTTAACAGTCAGAGAGCATGTCATACATTAGGAAAGCTGAAACTGTTTTAAGTCCGGAACGATAAGAAATTGATTTAGTTGGAGACAGAAGTGACGAAGGGAAATTGGACATTGATGATGTTCTTTGTGAAATTGGAAGTGTCGTTCCAGAAAATTTGAAATTTCTCAATCTGGGATCAAAGGCATGGACCTACACAAAAGATTCGATCAGTGAATTTCTTGATCAATGTGAAACCAGGCTGAAACGTAAACCATGTACTTTTATTATGGGTAGTCATTTGTCGAGAAAAGTTGTAGAAAAGCTTAATCTGTACGAAGAAAAGGGAGTGATCCAAATTATGGTTACTAGAAGTGAACGAGAGATATATTTATAGATTATTTGTTTCTAGTGATGGCAGTATTGACTGACGGGAACGTATGCTAATCAAAGGTGATATTCAACTGAAATTAGGGTTAAATTTTGTTTAGTTTCTTGTTTTATTTGAATTTGCTTTTTATCGATATATTACACAATTCATGTATCGATCCAATTAAAATAATAAAAGTTTATTCACAAAAGACCTTGCATTTATTTTATATTTTTAAGAGATAAATCGCGGTTAAAGGGCATAAAAATTAGCAAATTTAATGGTAGAAATTTTCGGAAGTTAATATAGTTTTTCTATATAAGGGTAGAATTCAGCTGGCTTACAATGAAAACCTTCCTTAAGTTTCTAACAAATATTATAGAGCAAGCTATTCCGGTTCTAATAGTAGTAGACTTATTAAAATTAGTTTAGTAGATCGTGAGTTATTGGCGTGACAATATGATTTTTACATATTGCCAGAAACTTTTGGCGTTCCAACATTATATGAAAGTAATAGTAATTCTCCACCGATTTTTACTATGAAATTTATACCCTTTAACTGCGATCTACAACTTTAATATTACTTTGAAGTCTAATTACAATTAACTAGGTTCATGTTTATTATCTGGGTTAATGTCCGTCTAAATTCAGTAACATAGCTATTGCAAATAGTTATTACAAATTTCTATGACAATTATTTAAGTTGGAATCAAATCAGAAATGACAAGATATAGTAAAAAAAACTATTAGTTCTGTATCGTTAATTAATTTTATTAAACTTCATAACTGTAAGACATTTAAAGCAACCTTTTTTTTTTTTTTTTTTTTTTTTTTTTTTTTTTTTTTTTAATAATTTCCCCTTTTTTTTTTTTTTTTTTCTTTTTGTTTTTTTTTTTTTTTTTTCTGTTTCTTTTCCTTTTTTTTTTCTTTTTTTTTCCTT